GTTCATGGATGCAGAAGCACTGTCATGTCCTAAACGCATGATTTTCTTTAGTCTTTCCTGATCTGTGGCATTCTTTCTGCCCCTCTTCTATCAGGGTCCCTGAGCTTTGGGAGGATGGGGAGTTATATTGATGTCCTCTTTGTAGTGAGCACTCTAATAAAACTTGTTTGCTGAACTCTGATTTTTTTTTGTTTGTTTGTTTGTTTTTCGAGACAGGGTTTCTTTGTGTAGCTTTGTGCCTTTCCTGGAACTCACTTGGTAGACCAGGCTGGCCTCGATCTCACAGAGATCTGCCTGCCTCTGCCTCCCGAGTGCTGGGATTAAAGGCATGCGCCATCACCGCCCAGCAAAGTGTAGTCCAGGCTGGCCTCGAACTCAAGATCCTCCTGCCTCTGCCTCCTTCAGCAAATCCTACCGGTGTGCGCCACCACAACCGGCCTGATTGGTTTTGAGTTTCTGCATTAACGATCCTGCATTACATGAAGAAATTTCTCTGATAAGATCTGAGAGTAACACTGGTTTATGAGGATAGAAATACAAATGAGGAGAAGTTTTGTACTTTGATATTTAGCAAAATGATACTATGAAAATGACTCCTGGGACCTGTAGAATCGCTCTTCTAATTACTTTTCTGTTTCTTGATAAAATACCATGACCAAAACCTGAAAAATAAGGTTTTATGTCAGCTCATGATTCCAGAGGGAAGCGTTCACTGTGGTAGGGAAGGAATGGAATGATGGATGTAGCATGAAGCTGCCTGATCGCATTTAAAACACAAACAGGAAGCAAAAGAAAGTAGGAAGTGGTGTGGGGTCATAAACCTTCAAAGCTTGCATTCAGTGAGGTATTTTTCCAATGAGTTTGCTCCTTCTATAGGTACCATAAACTCCCCCAAACAGCACCATTAACTTGAAACAAGTATTTAAATACAGGAGTATATAGGGTCATTTCTCATTCAAATGACACAAAACCAGAGTTCTTGATCAGACTTCACACACACACACACACACACACACACACACACACACACACACACACACCACCCCCTATCCCCGAACATGAAAATTATGAAATAGGTTTCCATATGGCTTGTTCAGAAGTTCTATTCTGATTTGGTTTTTTGTTGTTGTTTGTTTTATCTTGTTATATTTTATCCCTTAGATGCCTGTTTGTTTTCTAACATGAGGCAGAAAGTGGTGGATCTAGATGGAAAGGGAGGTGGGGAGGAACTGGGAGGAGTTTGGGGTAACCATAATTATAATATATTGTAAGAAAAAAAAACCTGCTACGGCCACACTTATTCCTGTAGTCATCTGACAATCTTTGTCTTTTATGTTCAGGGTTTTTGTTTTTCTTGATGTTCAGTTTTTTTTTTTTTTGAGTTCTTTGTAAATTCCAGACAACAGTCCACTGTTGGACGTGTAACTGACAGATATTTTCCCATTCTCTATGCTGTCTCTGCATTTGACTAACAGTTTTCATGGCACTCCACCCTTGAGTGCTGGTTTTGTTTTCTGTGTGAGTGGTGTCGTACTCAGAATGTCCCTACCCGAGCAAGTATCCTGAAGTGTACGTCCTACTCTTTCTTCTAGAATGTTCAGAGTTTCTGGTCTAATATTGAGCTCTTTGATCTATTTGAAAATGATTTGTGTGTAGGGCGAGAGGGGAAGAGCACGTTTCATTCTTTTACATGTTGATATCCAGTTTGTCCAGCATTGTGTGTTATAGATACCATTTACATACTAAACCTGCCAATACACGTATATGGATCTCTCCCTGTGTCATCTTTGGTTTCTCTCTTCAGTGTTCTAAAGTTTATTATGTCTAGGCTTTTATTACAAATTCTTTATTGATTAGATTTATTCCAAGGTACTTAATTTTAAGAAGTATTTTTTGTGAATGTGATTGCTCTCCAGATTTTTTCATTCTTTTTGTTTCTTTATAATGGAGAGTTATTTATTTTGTAGGGGAAAATATGATCAAAACATATGACATGAAACATTTAAAAATAATAAAAGCGACAAAACTCATCTTATGAAAAAAAAGAACACATCTTAAAGCCCATTGGCCAAGATCAAATCAGCTTCAATCCAGAGATACAAGTATGATTCAACATACATAAACCAATAAATTTAACCCACCACATAAATAGACTCAAGGATGTAAACTACATGGTCATCTCCTTAGATGCAGAAAAAGCCTTTGACAAAATCCAAATTCCTTCAGGATGAAAGTTCTAGAAATTTTGAGGTACAAGAGACAAAATCTCCTAACGCTGATAGACATGGTTAGCAAAGTATCAAGACATAAAAGTGACACACAAAACAGTAGCCTTCCTATATGCCAGTAACAAACATAGAAAGAAATCAGGGGGAAAATCCCACTCATAACAGTCTCAAAAATATCTCAGAATAAATCTCACAAAGGAAATGAAAAACTCATTTAATGAGAACTGTAAGACACTGAAGAAAAAAGCTGAAGAAATATCAAAACATGGAAAGAATTCTTATGCTCCAGGGTTGGAAGGATTAATATTGTAAAAATGGCTATTTTACCAAAAAACATCCTACAGAGATTCAGCGCAATTCCCATCAAATTTCCAATACAATTCTTAGCATAAATTGAAAAAAAAATCTCAAAATTCATATGGAAGCAAATGATATTCAAAATAGGAAAAAAAAATCCCAAAAAACAAAACAAACAAACAAGCAATCCATAAACAGTAATTGGAAGGATAGTTTGAAACAATTAAGCAATTTTGTTTCCTCAGTCTTTCCCTTTGGTTCATATGAGTCCTGACATTATACACAGGTTTCTATATCTTCCAGTGTCTAATGGCTCTCAAAGGAATTTGATTAAAATGTTACCGAAATTAATTAATTGTAGTTGCACTAGGTTTTCTGTCTCTGGGGATGTGTCTATTATCTTTCCCTCCAGGACAAACTCTTCTAATGTTCTATTCACAAACACACATAATGTATCTGTTCCTTTTGCAAAAAGGTTGGTTTTTTTTCTTCATGTTTTTTGTTCTTTTTAATCTGCATTGCTGAGCAATATTAGAAAAGTTATGCAGTCAATGACATACTGTTAAATATTTCTCATTTTTAAAGATCAGATTCATGATTGAAAAGTGGGTAGGCTTTCACAAGTGGGGTCTAGACTAAATGTTTACATTTTAATAAGGGAATGGCTGAATAAAAGTAATGAATTTGACCAAAATTATTTTTAAATGAAACTTTTACCTACTTAAATCACTATTTTTAATTAAATTTCAGATAATTAGAAAACTAGGTTTAAACTATGCTCAGACTAACTTAAAAGTGAGTATATTTTTCCCTTGTCAACAATGTTACTCATATTTCCTAAATGAGAACTTTTTACAATAAGTCTTCTTTATATACATTGTGATATTAAAAATTTTTTCCAACTTCTTTTTTTGTCTATGTTTTGCCTAAATATGACAACTGTGTTCAGAAATGTAGAACACCAACCCTGGAAAGGAATCAAACACATTTTCTCAGGTAAAGCTCAGAGATATTACTACTATAGCCTTAAAGGGCAGAGATACAGCAAAACATGTCACTGCCATCTGCAGTGACATCTGCAGGTTCCTTTCATGGTTTACCTAAGAATCACTAAGCTGGAAGTTTTGCTTCTTAGAGCTGGTGCCAATGCAATGTACTCTCATGTGATCTCAGAAAGTATCTTTCAGAAATTGGGTACCTGAGTCATGGGAGTTCTGGCGTTCTCAATACTGAAAACTCATTTTATTGGCACGTTACTACCAGTGTAAAAATCTGTTAAACTGTTTAGTTTGGAAGACTTGGTGCATGGAGGCAGATCTGAGCTCAGAGAGCTAAAACAAACTACAGAATATTGGTGCCAGTATTAATAGGTTGCAGAGTTATTATTCAGTTATGAATTTTATTCTTTCACTTATCAAATATAATTTATGTCTGTTTTGAGCATTGGAAGACTGAATATGATGAAGGGGAATACAAATGGGAATGCTACCTCTATTTGCAGACACCAGTATGTGACCTTAGGCTTGTACATAGAACCTAGTAGGATGACTATTGTGCATAGAGTGAAGAATATATTGATGTTTTCCACAATAATTACAATTATATTTTATGCTGCCTTACTATGTTATTCTTATCTTTGTTATCTTCTTTATAGTATATTTCCTTTTCCTGTCACACTTTTTTAAAAATAAGAAATTTATCAGCATATTCTTTTCAATGCAGAGCTTGAGAAAGCCTGAACACTTTGGCCTTGCTCATTAACACATCTGATGTTGTGTTTGTGTTAGTTTTAAAGAGTACCCAACAGGGTGATTTTATATGATGATAAAAAATGAAGGATTTCAATCAGTTTCCCTCCACAGAGAGTTTTCTGTTTAAGGTTTCCTATGAACTTGGGAACTTAATCATTTAGGGTGCTGGATGTAATTCTGCACTCCTGTAAGCCCAGCATAAGGGAGTCTGAGAGAGGATCCTCACAAGTTTGAGGTTAACCTGGGCTGCACTGTAAGTTTTGACTACAGAACCAACTCAGCCAGACTCTGTCATAGACCAAAACCCACCAAGTTGTTATGAGTATAATGCCTAGACTCTTAGATGGGACTGAGGCAAGAGACTAAAGAATTGGTCAGTATGGGCTATTGAATGAACAAAAAAGACTGGAATTGACTCAAAATAAGCTTTCTAGTGATAATTATAAATTTTAAGTTATGGTCATATGGTTTTGATATTGCAATGTATTCATTTTGATAATTTGTTTAATCTTTCTCAAAAACAATGAAACCAATTAACTCTTTCCTTCCCAAGACACAAAATTAACTTTCAACTCAGATGGATAGCTATTTTGCCATTTCTCAAGGCATTATAGTACAGGCTTTGTTTATGTAGAGTAATGACATTACATACATATTTAAAATCTTATCAGGAGTTGACATTATTCCTTTTATCCACAGGTCTACCCAAATTCAGAGCTTAGCCATGCCAAATAAGACATCTATCACAGAATTTATTCTTCTGGGACTTACAGATGACCCAGAGTTACAAATTGTGATATTTTCTTTTTTGCTGGTAACATACCTACTGAGTGTTAGTGGAAACATGACCATCATTACATTGACTCTGTCAAATGTTCACTTGAAAACTCCCATGTATTTCTTTCTCAGGAATTTCTCTTTCTTGGAAATCTCTTTTACAACAGTCTGCATTCCGAGATTTCTGATCAGCATTGCTACAGGGAACACAGCTATTTCCTACAATGCTTGCATGGCCCAAGTGTTTTTTTTGATCCTTCTGGGAGCAACAGAATTTTTTCTACTGGCTGCAATGTCCTATGATCGTTATGTGGCCATCTGCAAACCTCTGCACTACACAACTATCATTAGCAACAAAGTCTGCAATCAACTTGTAATTGCCTCCTGGTCAGCTGGTTTCCTCATCGTTTTCCCCCCAGTGATCATGGGCCTTCAACTGGAATTCTGTCACTTCACCTGTGACTCTTCTCCCATGCTGCAGATTGCACTGTCACTTCACCTGTGACTCTTCTCCCATGCTGCAGATTGCTTGCACAGATACAAAGGTTTTAGAGCTGATGGCATTTTTCTTAGCAGTATTTACTCTCATAGTAACTTTGGCCTTGGTGATTCTCTCCTACACACTCATCCTTAGAACAATTCTGAAGATACCCTCTGCACAGCAAAGGAAAAAGGCCTTTTCCACTTGTTCCTCCCACATGATTGTGGTTTCCATTTCATATGGAAGCTGCATTTTTATGTATGTAAAAACATCTGCTAAAGAAGGTGTGGCACTAAGTAAAGGGGTGGCTGTGCTCAACACCTCTGTAGCTCCCATGCTGAATCCCTTCATTTACACCCTAAGGAACCAGCAGGTCAAGCAGGCATTCAAGGACCTCACCAAAAAATTACTACCTTCAAAGGAGGGCTGATTTTTCTGAAATCTGTAACTGAGAAAGCTTCTTTCTAGGTAATGGGCATAGATGAAGGAATAAAGCACACAGATCCTGCTCTTACACTGCTTACTTCTAGTAACTAGGAAAGTGCCAACATAATTGGATAATTGGGAAGTAAATTAACTGAAACTTCAGTGAGCGACAAATGCTACAAAAAAAAAAAAAAAAAAAAAAGGGAAGCAGCATAGGAAGGGTGATGAATGGAAGTCAAACTAAACAGCCTGCCTAAATAATTCGCAGTCATTTAAAAGTTCTCTCACAAAAGACCTTCTGCATTCAAATGTATTATTTAATATTCTTTTTTTCCATTAATTTCCTCACCTAGTAACTTGAGCTGTGAGTATATTGCCCGATGCTTTGCTTAGAAGCTGGGAAATAATAATTAGTGAAAGGAAATGGGTTTGTTTGCAGTTTGGGCTTGAACTGAGAAGAAAAATGTTCTCAGTTTATCTCTATTTTACCTGTAGAAATGTTACAATTTCTTGTGAAGAGGAAACAAAATCCAGGGGGGGAAACAGTTTTTGTGCTAAGCTTCCAGAATACTGGTGGAAAGCCTTTCTTTGGAGAGAGTTACTTTTTTGAGAGAGGAGATTGCACTATTTTTTAAATTCTCCATTATAGGGTTTCCCAAAACTTTTCCCCATTTGGAATCTAAATTAGCTTTTACTTAGGAAGCAAAAGTTAGGATATAGAGATCTAAAGTTTTAGACATGATACAAATTTAGAAGACAGTATTAACAACCCTAGATAGACTAATTTTCCTGATGTAAATGTGTGTCTCATGTATGTGATAGTTCTATTTAACCAGAGATATGAAATACTCATTTTACTAAAATAGATATTTAGATGAGTCTTGACAGTAGGGTTTAGGTTTCTAAGTAGTAAAAAGTCTGATAGCATTAAGAGAAAACAAATCTGAGTAGATTTATATTGCAATAGAGTATAGTTGTTTTATACAAAATAGGAAATTCTTTGAATAAATTGTTGGTTATACACAAGCCAGTTAAAATTTTCTTTTTCTCACACCTTGTAAGCCTTCTGTAACTGTGCAAATTACTACAAATTGTTTAGACTTCTAGGTACAAAACAATTCCACAAATTACTACAATATACTGCTATTTTAAAAATCAGAAAACATACATATGCTAACAGTAACTTTTTTTGTTTATCTTTTATTTCTTTTCAAAATATTGGGATAATTAAAAATTAGTTTTCTTGAGTTTAATAAATTCAATAATGAAATCTTAAACTGAACTTAATTATAAAATATTTAGAATTTGTGTTTAAACTTAATGTGTAGTCATATAAACCTTATTTTAAATTTTAAAATATTAATTTTATTGTATGCATGTGTACCCACCCACCACCTCCACATATACACTGTACATATTTTAAAGGATACTACACTGGATGTGAAAATTCTATGTTTCTGCTTTTTAAGTCAACTTAACCAATGTCATTTTTTTGTCATTCAAAAAACAGTGTGCAAAACAGATCTGAAAAATCATAAAACAGTGCATAGAATTTTCTAATGACAATTTCATCATGTCACATATTTCAGTCTCATTGACATATCTGTATCATACTTATATTTAGGTAAATATGTATTATTATACTGCATATATTATACATTTTCCTTTTTATATATAAAAGCATAAATACTGAGTCCAAATGAGGCTGGCGAGCACAGACGACTTATGAACCTGGCATTTTGCAAACATCAGGCTTGGGCTGGTTATACACCTCTATTCTCATAACGCGCATGGTTGCCTGAAACCCCGAGGTGCGCATTCTAAGCACATACACACCCCTCTCGGAACAATGTACCTAGCAACCTACCTGTTGGCAGCAGAGGAACCCCACCTTCATAACTCTGCTTGTGTACCTGCTTCACACAACTAAAATGCCCTAAAACCCAGAAAGATGGGATGATTTGGCCAGAATAGGCTTTGGAAGCTTGAGCAATAAGGCAAACCATGTCCTCTCAAAGTCTTTTTAAGTGAATATTAGGGAGCATCACCTATATCATATTATACCTAGTTATAATTAGGTGTGCATATTATTAAAGTCAGATGAATTGTGGAAAAGGACTTTCACAGTGTGCAAAGAGCTTATGTAATACAATCACACTAGAGAATCACCCCTAAGCAGCAGACTTCTCTTGAACTCCAAAAGGGAGCCTCAAACAATAATCAGGGTGCTTAGGTCAATCTTGACAATGTATTCCTTTAAAGTCTAACTATCACTCTGCTATGAGAAATGTTCCCTTGATTCTTTACCGTATGTGAGCCTTTCTTTCAATCCCTTCAATAAGAGCCCAAGAACCTAAAATAACAGGCCACAGTCCCAACCACTAGCAACAATGGACATAGAGAATTTAAATCTAATATTTAATTTTGTAAACAGGATTTCACCTATATGAACAATTGTGTAGGCATTCAAAATCAGGTTGGATATACATAGAAAACCAGACATTAAGATATGTAGCTTTTTACAACTGAAATGTATAGATGCCACACTCAAAGAACCAGTGCCAAGAGACACTTGGTGAATTAATGTTGATCGCTGCTGTGGTTTATACTGTTCTTCAACTTAATAGAATCTAGTATCACCTTGGACACAAATCCCTAAGTATTTTTGAGGGATTTCCAGATTAGGTTAACTGAAGTGTGGTGATAAATTTTAAATATGGGTGGTACTGTAAGGTTTCCGTACCCCTGATATTAAGTCTCTCTGCAGATGCAGTAAGCAGAATTGAGAGTAAAAGACCAAGTTTATTGGGTAGAATGTTCCAAGGTGATTTTCCTGACCCCCAGAGATGAGATCAGGAGAGGAGACCGGAACAAACCATGTGACCATTTTCTAGGACGAAGTTTAAATACTTGAGTACCTTCTGAGTTTAGGTTACATCAGGTAACCCTGACTCAGAAAGACAAACATGGTATGCACTCACTCATAAGTGGATACTCACTCATAAGTGGATACTAGATGTAAAGCAAAGGATAACCAGACTGCAACCCACAGCTCCAGGGAGGTTAGCTAGGACCCTAGGGAAGACACAGGGATTGCCCAGCGATGGAGAAATGGATGAGATGGAGGATGGAGGGGTAATGGAGGGCAAGGGTCGGGGTAAAGAGAGCTTAGGGGAGTGAAAGATTATACCTGGATCAGAAACAGAGTAGGAGAACAAGGAAAGAGATACCATGATAAATGAAGACACCATGGAAATAGGGAGAGGCAGAGTGCTAGAGAGGTCCCCAGGAATCCACAAAGATGATTCCACTATAGACTGCTGGCAATGGTCGAGAGGGTGCCTGAGCTGACTTACTCTCGTGATCAGATGGCCTAAGACCCTAACTGTCATGATAGAACCCTCACCCAGTGACTTATGGACCAGATGCAGAGATCCACTGCCGGGTCCCAGGCAGAGCTCCAGGAGTCCCATCGACAAGAGAAATGAGGAATTCTATGAGCAAGAGATATCAAGACCATGACTGGAAAAAGTACAGAGTCAACCAGCCAAACTAGTGGAAACACATGAACTGTGAACCAATAGCTGAGGAGCCCCCATGGTACTGAACTAGGCCCTCTGTATAAGTGAGATATTTGTTTAGCTTGAACTGTTTAGGGGGCCTCCAGGCAGTGAGACCAGGACCTGTCCCTAGTGCATGAGCCAGCTTTTTGGAGCCTAGTGCCTATGGTGAGACACTTTGATCAGCCTTGGTGCAGGGAGGAAGGGCTTGGACCTGCCTCAGCTGAATATACCAGGCTCTGCTGAATCTCCAGGGGAGACCTTCCCTTGGAGGAGATGGGGATAGGAGGTGGGTTGGGGGGAGGCTGGGGGGCAGGAGGAGGGAGGACAAGGGAATCCATGGTTGAATATAAAATGAATAGAAAATCTCTTAATAAAAAAAAATCACGAAGACAACACAATAATATACAGTATCCAGGCACTCTGTGTTTTCCATTTTTCTGTGGCTTTTTTTTTCAATTACACTATTTCTTTTTTAAGGACTTCTCTATCCTTCTTCTTTTCTCTCACAAGCCTATGTATATTTTTATACACACTGTGACCGTGTTTAGAGTTTTTTTTTTCATCTGAATCTGTTTTATTGTGTATCTGTAATCCTTTTCTGACAAGGAGAGTTTTAAACTGTTAAGATGTGTGGCTAGGACAAAAGTGGCAGAGCCCTGGCTGCTGGCTCCACTTTTCAAAATGGCTCAGGTACCAAGGGGTCACACTTACCTCCCCAATTCTGGGTAGCAGTACTAGGTAGTATACTTGTGTTTTTAAGTCCAAGGCTGTGCTCACAAGCCCACAGGCAGCAGCCGTGACCAGGTGATATGTCTCTATACAGCGGCCAGTAATAAGAGACGAGAACGAGGAAGCTATTATTAGCTCCATTTTAGGATCTCTTCTTAAATTCTCTCAGGTTTTAGGTGGAAACTCTTGCCCCATGTAGGAACACCAGATGAAAGATGCAACAGTAATATCTACAAGGCTCATTCTAATGATTCTTGGAAGTGAATGATGCAAAAACGTACTCTGCAATGTAGTTACAAAGCTTAGAAAACTATGTTTCTTTATAGTTTTTATGAAGAGTTCTCAAGAAAAGAGCATTTTCCAGAGACAACCTGCAGATGCTTGTATAAATCCACAGAAGCTATGACATCATGTACATTACCCATCTCCATTGGCTAAAGCCAGAAAATGTCCTAGCACTGAGTAGGGTAAGTAGCAAAAAGTGTCATGCATAGACAAGGATTTATGCACAATTAGTAGCTGCTGGGATAGGGTCTTTGTTAGGTTTTCTATGTTAAGAGACACATGACCACGAAAACTCTTATAAAGAAAAACATTTAATTGGCTTATGGTTTCGGAGGTTTAGTCCATTTTTTATCATGCTGGGACATGTAGTGTGCAGGCAGACATGGTGCTGGAGAATAAGCTAAGAATTTTATGTCTTGATCCACAGGCAACAGGAAGTGAAACTTCTACCACACCAAATGTACCTTGAGCAAAAGAGACCTCAGAGCCCACTCTCTAATGACACACTTCTTCCAACAGGACCACTCAATACCTATTCCAACAAGGCCACATCTCCTAATAGTTGTAATAGTGCCACTTCCTTAGGGGGCCATTTTCTTTCAAACCACCACATTCCACACCCTGGCCACCAAAGGCTTGCAGCCATATCATAATGCAAAAATGCAATCAGACCTTAAAACCCACAATGCAGTGATGTACTTCCTTGTACAAGCCCACATCCTAATAGCACTACTCCCTTTGGGGACCATTTTCTTTCAAACCACCACAGAAAGAGATAGTTTTTTTCAGTAGTGTGACACTGGGTATATCACTTACTCTTCTGGGCAGGCCTATTTATTGTCAACAGAAATTGGACTCTTTTTCTGTTTCCCATGTGTGGTTTTTGTTTTGTGCTTAAGAGAGGAAAAGAAGATGGAATTGGGTTGGTAGGAAGAGGGATGGTCTGTGAAGAGTTGGGGAAAGGTAAGGAATATGATCAACAGATATAATCTGATAGTCTCAAAGTAGAAAAAACATTAAAGGACTCAGTTCCTACTTACTTTTATTATCTTTTCTATAGAATGAGATCATCAGCATGTACATGAGGTAAATAGCTTTGAAACAATGATCTTCTATGTGTATGGGCCACTTTTTAAAGATTTGTTTTATTTTTAATTATGTGTCTCTGTGTGGGTGTATGTATGTGTGTGCAAGTGCCTAGGGTGTTCATAGGCATCAAAGCTGAAGTCACAGGCAGTTGTGAGCTGCCTGCCATGTGTGCTGATAACAGAACTCTGGTCTTTGCTACATATCCATGATAAATAAAGAGATTGTAAGAGGCTGACATATCTGGTCTGGAGAAGATCACCTCTTGAAATAAAGCACACAATCAAAGTTGCCAGGAATAATCCAGTGCCTTTATTTTTACCTACATCATATAATTTTTCAACATCATATAAATGAAATGAGACCAGGAGTAAGTAGTTCAGGAAGTCATAGGGTACTAACCCAAGGTTAATAGAAATCCATTTAACATGGGAATAAATATCTAAGTATACACCTGCTGGTGCTAAAATAAACAGTTCAAACATGCATTGTTCATCTTTCAACTTTTCAAATAACAAATGCAAGTAGTACACACTATTTGGTGGACATGAAAAAATAAAAAATAATATGAAATCCTTGAGAACTCTAGAGATTAACAATTAACATTCATATTGTGTGTAAACCAAAGAGCATAGGTAAAGATGATATAATTAAAAATATAGGGCTGTTGTCATTGCTTAGTTGGATAAAGGTTTTCCCGTGTAAGCATGAGGACACGAGTCCAACCCCCAGAACCTATGGAAAATGCCTTGATGATGACGTGTGCTTGCAATCTGGTTATCTAGGATGAAGTACAGGTGAATCCCTGGGACTCACTGATCATTAATCCTATCTGAGTCAAGTCAGTGACCTCTGGGTTCAGAGAAGAACACTGAGGCCAAAAAAAATGGTTTCATTAAGCATAAGAGGGCAATGATGGCTCTGCATATAAAGCTTTTCATTAAACCTAATGACGTGAGTTCAATTCCCAGAACCCTTATGTTGGAGAGGAGAGCTGAGTCATAAAGTGTGTGCTCCACTGTTCATATTCTGAGAGTGTGCACATAGCAGCACATTCACACAAACATACATACACTAAAAGGAAATGCAAAAAATGCATAATAAAATTTTGTGTTTATGGGATAAGGCCATATCAATAATAGTATATGAAATTATGGAAAACAGTTTTTAGGCTAAACCAATTAACAGATAACCATAATACAACTGATAACTTGAATATGTATTTTAACCATGAAATTAAACATTCCCATCGACTTCTCAGTGCTGTGTAGGTAGGTTACTCACTAGGTTTTAATGTCTGATTTTAAACATTAGGTATAAATCCATTCACTTGTAGTGTAAATGGTTGCAAAAATGATTCACTTAGCAATAGTCTACAGTTTCCATAAAATATACAGGGGTCCCTGTTTGAAAAACAATCTCATAACATTACTTAATAATATGAAAAGCTAAGTAGGTCAAGATAAGAACACAAAGTCTTCTGATATGAGGGAATTGGTGATCTAATGTATCATGTTCTCTTTGAAAAACGTCAGATCAGAAAAATACTTAAAGGATCTCAAAGTATATTATTTACCACAAATTCTCAAATGAAAATAGAACAAACTCATCTTTAGTTAATGAACATGTAAAAATAACTATGACAAACTGTGGAAAATATATTGAACAAAACATGGTGGTCCTGCCTATGATCCCAGCACTTGGGTAATGAGGGTAGGGAGATAAGCAGTTCAATCCTTGCCTACAGAGCAGGTTCAAGGCCTGCTGTATTTTCTCAGTAAAACACTACTGCAGTTTTACTTTCATGTTTTAAACTGATTTCTCCTTGTGTTGAGGATAACACATGTTTTGTGTCACTATTGCATAATTATCCTCCACCCTCAAAATGGAGTCAAAAGCTGCTTATGAAATGGAGTCTGAGGGCAAAGCCCAGCCTAAAAATTTCCACGACTGTTTTACAGAATATAGAGTAACACAGAGTAGGATGCAGCCTAATTTCAACATCGTCCTATGAAAGTCAGTGTGAGAAGGTAATTGTTTTTCTTGTTAGATTTCATTTTCTCACAAACGCTTTGCTAACTCCTTGCAGATAAGTTCTGCAATCACCTGGGATGTAGGTCACATAACAAACCAATTAAATGTGATTGCTAGAAGTAATCTTTTACTTGTATACATTAGTGTCCTATTATTATTCATCCCAGAAGTCATTATGCATTTCCACACTTTGTAGAATATTTTTGAAGTTATGTGTTGCAAACATAGTATAAATGCTGTTAATTTTTTCCCCTGGGAAACATATTAGCAACATCCATTTGGGAAATACTGGGATAATCTGAATAATTTTATAGCAATAAAACTCCCATCTAGCTATGTGTTGTTAAAATATTGTGAGGAATATGTCAGGATCCTAGATGTTGGATGATATTAGAAAACACATGAAAAGGATATTTTACTGCATGTTTCCATATTAAATATCAGGGGTGCTGTGAGGAGCCGAGCTTTGTGGGAGGAGAGACATAAACAGTGATTTCTCTTTGTGCTACAGGACTATGGTATAGATTTTGGTTTAAGGGAGCTAAACGTATTACTCTTTGTTTGACCTTTCACTTTAACTACCAATACTTTAAACTGGTATTTCAATTATTTCTGTACAATCTTTTATCTTTATTTACTATCTTCTCAGGCAGTTATTTTTATAGCTGTTTCATATATGTAACTGATACATATTTCAATTTAATTAATATATATTAGTTAACTTGAAAAATTTACAACTTAAATATGTATTAAATGAAACACTCTAGCCATTAAATGTGGAGAATAATAGTGCATTTTTTCATATTTGAGTATCCATTATTTAGATTGTACAAGTCAAGTTCATGTCACTGATATAGATGTTCAAGATAGTTCTAAACAGCACATTACAGTGTGTATATATTTCAATGTCATATATACATCATTAGTAAATAATTTAAAATGTGTTCTATTCTTACTGTTTGATGCTAAGTAAATTAAAAAAAACATTTTTATCAAAATCAACTAAACTTACTACATTAATTGAATTTAATGAGAAGAGTCTCAGTTTCAGATATCAAGAATAAAGGTTGAAACTTTAAGGTCTCCAATAATACAAGAGGACAAAATTTAAGGTGGATTTTTTTAAAGAGGGATATTATTTAACTTTTTAAAATACAAAAATATAGTGAAATGTGTTGATTTTATTGTTTTGTTATGAAAATATTTATAGACATTACATGATTTACTTGGTCTAGTTTGATGTTTATACTATTCCTGTAGATAACAGAATAAGTTGATCATTGGTTTCCATAATTTGTTTTATAGAAAAGATAACATAGAAGCCGGGCGGTGGTCGTGCATGCCTTTAATCCCAGCACTCGGGAGGCAGAGGCAGGAGGATCTTTGTGAGTTCGAGGCCAGCCTAGGCTACCAAGTGAGTTTCAGGAAAGGCGCAAAGCTACACAGAGAAACCCTGTCTCGAAAAACCAAAAAAAGAAAAAGAAAAAGAAAAGATAACATAGGAAAAGCATAATGATGCCAACAATGAAATTAGTACATTTTACAAAATAGTAAAAGTGATAGATAGTGGCAGAATAAAAACATAGTTTAGACTGACTTTAAACATAAAAAATGTGTCTTTAAAGATGTAATTGAAATATAGACAACAGCACACACACAGAACACATACACACACAGAAAGAGGGAGAGAGAAAGAGAGAGAGAGACAGAGACAGAGACAGAGACACCTATGTTTATCTGCTTATCTTGTGGCTCATGTTCTTGCCTCGTTTTCTGTGTTTGATTTTATCAGATTTGTTGTATACTGACCACCAGGAATGAGAAACAGAACATCAGTGACATACTTCATCCTCCTGGGTCTGACAGATGATCCTGAGCTTCAGGTTGTGATTTTCTTTTTTCTGTTTCTCACATATGTGCTGAGCATTACTGGAAATTTAACCATCATCATACTCACTCTGCTGGATTCCCACCTGAAGACCCCCATGTATTTCTTCCTCAGGAATTTCTCCTTCTTGGAAATTTCATTTACTTCTGTCTGTAACCCTAGGTTTTTGGTCAGCATCCTAACTGGAGACAAATCAATCTCCTATAATGCTTGTGTTGCTCAACTATTTTTCTTGATTTTTCTTGGCTCAACAGAGTTTTTCCTTCTGGCATCCATGTCCTATGATCGCTATGTGGCTATCTGCAAGCCACTCCACTATACAACCATCATCAGTAAAAAGATCTGCCACCAGCTCATCATCAGCTCCTGGCTGGCTGGGTTCCTGGTAATTTTTCCACCATTGGCCATGGGATTAGAGCTAGATTTCTGTGACTCCAACATTATTGACCACTTCACATGTGACTCTGCTCCTTTGCTCCAAATCTCCTGCACAGACACACGCACTCTAGAGCTCATGAGCTTTATATTGGCTTTGATCACGCTTATGACTACGCTGACGTTGATAATTGTCTCTTATATCTATATCCTCATAACTATTCTGAAATTTCCTTCAAGCAAACAAAGGAAAAGGGCCTTCTCAACCTGCTCCTCACACATGATTGTTATCTCCATATCCTATGGAAGCTGCATCTTCATGTATGTAAAAACATCTGCCAAGGCTGGAGTTGCCTTGACAAAGGGTGTGGCTATGCTCAACACCTCTGTTGCTCCCATGCTGAATCCTTTTATCTACACTTTAAGGAACCAGCAGGTGAAACAAGCCTTTAAGGATCTTATGAGAAAGGTATTTGCCTCAAAAACGCTGATGTGATATAGATTACAAATGAAACATGGGACAACTTCAGCCATAAAACTAATGAGCATGTCCTTGTTCTAGTTCATCTCAAAAATAAAAGTGTATGCTATTCTTAATGCATTTACTGTCCTCATGTTAAAATTCACTTAATGAATTTATGAGCATGACAATAATGCAATGGTTTCTAAATTTATATGATAAAATTAGAAATGAAGTAATTTTTAATTATAGCTTATATATTTCAAATAATACATATATCCACTACATGCATATTTTTGGAAAGATTAAGACATTGAACTTACTTGTTAATTCATGTATGTGTTACACAAATATATACACATCTATTCTTACATGTATTTTTATGTGTCTGCACTTGTATATACATGTATATCATGACTTTTTGCTTTGATGGTGTTAGAGAATGAATTTATTGTATTTTTGTATCTGTTGCTATCATTTCTTAAGTGATACATATAGGACATTTAGTAATATGATATGGGAATAATCTATAAGAAATACATTGAAATTATAAAGTTCTTAAAAAAAATAATTGAAAAAGAAAAATAACAATATGCTAAAAGGAAAAGGGAGATTTTCATTTTGTACTGAACATGGAACAATTTACACTTACTTAATGTTCCAAAATAGAATTACATCTATGGTCATGATAGTAAATCGGCAGAAAAATATTTATTTTTTCAGGTTAATGTTTGTAGAATATTATTGTATTTGTTATGGTTCTAATTATTATTTAGAGTGGTTTAATTAATGATAAAAAGCAAAATACATCTTTAAGAATAATTCCTCTGATCATTATTCTCACAGGAAAGAAAGGGGAAAGTGAAGGTTATATGAATCTATTTTTATTAAATATATTAGAAAAAAGAGTCATTTTCTGTTTGTCAATTTTTTCCAATTACAGTTATTACTCTAATAAATGGGCAATAACATCTTTTTTTTCTGAACACAAAAAGAGAAATCTATGTCAGCTGGAGTGATACCAGGTAGTTTATGGGAATTTTTCTATCCTTTACCTGCTGAAAAAAGATGTCCATTTAGTCCTCTTCATAAGACACCACCACCACCACCACCACCACAGATGGCAGCCGTCTAAAAGTCAGGCCAGCTCTCATGGTTTAGAACTCATAACCTCCATCCTACCATCACATTCCAAAGGCTGGGATTATGAACATAATGACATACCCAACATGTTTATTTATTGTATCCCTGCCACAAAACCCAAGACTTTCTCATGCTGGGTATGTGTTCCACTACAGAGCTACACCCTTGGACCATATGCAAACAACACACACATACACACACACACACACATACACACACACACACACACACACACACACACACACACACATACACAACCTGGATAACCAGGGCTTTCATTGTTAGTTCTTTAATTTCTCATTTCCATCAGCACCCAGATGGTTCAGAATAATCACTAGGTTTAAATATTAGTAACAGTGGCATCAGGATTTTATGTGCCCTAGGCATGAAACATCTTTGGCCACCAAGCCAGGCATCAAGCTATGATGAACAAAGGGCTGTCATCTGCTCTGTCCCAGACTGATATAAGAACACCACCACCAACAAGGTGTCTTTTTGCCCATTGTCAATAACATATTTTTATAAGGACATTTCTTTTGTTGTTGTTGTTTTTTGTTTTTTTCAAGACAGGGTTTCTCTGTGTAGCTTTGTGCCTTTCCTGGAACTCACTCTGTAGCCCAGGCTGGCCTCGAACTCACAGAGATCTGCCTGGCTCTGCCTCCCAAGTACTGGGATTAAAGGCATGTGCCACCACTGCCCGGCTGGACACTTCTTAAAGGAGAGACCAACCTGTGTCTCTGGACAAATCCTCTCTGGAAGCTTCTCACACCAAAAGGAGTGACCGGTCATCTATATCTGAACTGTGTCATTGATGGAGACATCTGTGTCTGAACTGTGTTCTTGATGGAGACATCAGTGTCTGAACTGTGTACTTGATGGAGACATCTGTGTCTGAACTGCGTACTTGATGGACTAATCTGTGTCTGAACTGTGTCCTTGATGGAGTCATCTGTGTCTGAACTGTGTCCTTGATGGAGTCCTCTGTGTCTGAACTGTGTCCTTGATGGAGATATCTGTGTCTGAACTGTGTTTTTGATGGAGTCATCTATTTCTAAACTGTGTCCTTGCTAATTTTCTTGTCTTCATTTCAGATGTCCCTGTCTAATTTTGACAAGATTTGTGCATTGCATTACATAAAAAATATTGTTTACCAAATAAACAATGAAAATAGATGTCAATGAAGACAAATAAAATCTGAATGATTGAAAATGTGATGAAGATATGGAAGATCTAAGGATTCCTACTTAGCTGAGGAGGTGAGGACAGTTGCTTCTGTGCACCAGGACTCATGCATTGCACTTGTAGCTTCTCTTGTTTCCTGTTTTTAATTTTTTTAATTTTGCCTTTAGGTTACAATAAATTACATTTCTCTCTTCTCTTTCCTACCTCCCAAACCTTCCATATACCTTTCTCCATTCCTATTCAAGTTTGTTGTCTCTTTTTTCACTATTTATTGCATGCATTGATATGTAAATACATATATATATACATATATATATATATATATATATATATATATATATATATGTACACACACACACACACAACCTGCTCAATCCACACAATGTTACTTCTGTGTTTGTTTTCAAAGATGACCGTTGGTGTGCTCTTTCCTGGGGATTACCACCTTTCCTGTGTCCAGCTTTCCTCAATTGCTTATAGTTCTTTGTGTCAGGCTGAAGCCTCCTTCTTTTTCCCCATCCACTTTGACATGTTTTTTGGTTTCATTGGTTTCATCTTTGTTGAGCTCATTTGGGCAATCATGTTGGTCGACTTCATGTGCTAAGCTTCTGGATCTCACAGCAAACTACCTGATTCTCTGGCTCCTATCATCTTCCTAACTCTTTCAAAATGCATCCTGAGACTTAGGTATGGGAGATTCTTGTACATGGCTCCATTTGGGCTGGGTTCCTTCCTGTTTTTATTGCACAATAATTTCATATCTGCTACTTTTCTTCCATCATTCATAAAAATAGATAATTCCATACAGACTGCAGTGTTCATAATTTTAAATTGTTCACAATTTTTAACAGCTCTATTGAGGCATAATTGATATATAATAGTCCACATAGTTAAAATGTAATTTCATATGGTTTGCTGCATGTATACATCCATGCAAACATTAGCACAGTTAACGAGGACTATGGGGGCCCAGCCCCTCGATAGTCCCCTCCCAGGTTCCGCAGAAGGCTCTATCAACCAGCAGAGAATCTTTAGGGTCGGTAAATCAGTCTACGCACTCAGAGTTCTTTGATCCATTCGCTTTAATTCCTCTGGCATAACATCCTTTATACACAGCTTCAGTTCTGTTCTCATGTCTAGCTCCTTTCTTGCCTG